GGTGCTTATGCCACTGAGCTATATCCCTGGCCCTATCTGTGCAGTACTTGAAGCACGAAATTCTCGATGGCAAAATGCTTCCCCTAGTAGGAAGTTCAGGGACAAGTATGAATTACTGGGCTGTGTTCCTGGGGAGGCTGGAAATGAACATAGAACAGGCGATACTCTCACTGCGTAGGCAGTCATTCATCTTTGCACTATCTCTCTTTGCCATTGTGAGAGAAACTAATGAAAATAGCTTGAGCTGCAGGTCTTTGGGCTCTGGAAGGGTCCTGATGAATTTATTTGGAGTCACATTCTCTCTCAGTATCCTTACTTGGTGATCACAGACTTTTTATTGTATCCGGAAAAGAAGACAGGACAATTGTCTATAGCACACCTTTTTTTTTTTTTTTTTTTTTTTTGGTATAGGGTCTACAGGGTCTCACTACAAAGATCATACTCATAGTGATTCTCCTGTTTTCAGCCTCCCAAGTGCTGGGATTACAGGCACATGCCATCATGTCCAGCCTCAATCGCCGTCTCAGCGCACACGGATGGTAGGGTTGGCACAGCATTCTGGGGATCAAACCCTGGATGCTACGCTGTGCCTAAGTAGGCGCTTTAGTCTGCTGAGCTCTTTGGCTGGCCCTATAGAACAGCTCATAAAGTCAATTGTATCTGCACAGAAATTCTAACTCTTTACTTCTAATGAGATGGATAATTTATGTTGTGAAATATACATGTTTAAATCTTGGGGGCCGGGGAGATGGCTCAGTGGAATATGCACTTCCCTGGCAAGCGCAAGGGCCTGAGTTCAATCCCTGGTTCCGCAAAAAAATAAAAAAATTAAAAAAAAATCTCATTCTCCTGTTAATGTCTGTAGAACACAACAGTGGCTATAAAATGTTTTACATTATATTATCTTGTAAATCAGAAATGCGTGAGCTGGCTGGAAAGATAGCTCAGCAGCCTAGAGCATCTGCTTAGGCAAACTTAGGCAGGCGCAGGGATGGTGGTTCGATCCCTGGCACTGTATGCTGCACCAGTCCGCTCCCAGGGTGGGCTGAGCCAGCCACAGGATCAAGGTTTAGTGGCATATGCCTGTAATCCCAGCACTGGGGAGGCTGAAAACAGGAGGATTACTGAATCCGAGCTGTGTAGTGTTACAGTTACCCTGTAACAACTAAATACATTTAAAAAAGAAATGTGTGAGCATATTGTTCATAGAGAATAGATTATAAAAATCAGTTTGAAATATGATTTTATTTCAAGGAAGGAAGATTGGACAGAAATACAGTGAACAGAGAATGGATATTGTTCCACAGTCTCTGAATTCAATCTTTTTGGGGTACTAGGGATTATACCCAGGGCCATTCAGCTACGAGTATATTGAGCTATGGGACATTCCCAACACTTATTTATTGACTTATTTTTTACTTTGAGGCAAGATTCTAAGTCAATAAGTTGACCAGGCTCGACTCAAACTTGTTATCCCCTGCCTCAGCCTCCCAGAGTGCTAGGGTTAACAGTGTGCACCACTGTACCCATATTTCCAAATCTAAAATATAAGCATGGAGCCACCAATCCTGTGAATTTTCAACTCTCCTTACTGTCACTTAGCTGAAGAATGAGAGTAATGTGCATAAGAATTAGACTTAGAAGAGGAAGCTCTTTGACATATGGAAGTACATTTAAGCAAAAGTCAGGTTGATAGTTCCCAGGTCAGTGAGGTGAACCTATGGCACGTGTGCCACCGTGGGAGACGCAGAGCCCTTCTGTTGGCAGGCGGAGCCATGCTGCCCCGCAGGGGTGAGCAGAAACACTGCCATGACTTCTAGGACTTGGGGGTAGATCGATTTATGTCAATGGGAACTGATCGGGACCATTCCCAGAATATCAGACCCTCACCTTTGGTGGTCTAGAGCTGTTATATGATGCACAAGCAGGAGGCACAGAGAAGGCACAGAGGTGGGCCAGGACCACCCGGCAGCTCTTTTGAGTAGCTGGCATGGTGAGATCATGGGTTACAAGGGTAGATTAATGGTCATCAGTCCATGAAGCTTGGTACAATGGTACAATCAGGTGTCCTGCATGTTCAGTTACGCTCTTGTGGTTACAGGGGTCAAGAAAGGAATTACAAAGCCATGAAGTGGCTACAGAGCTCGGCAGCTTTAAAGAATAAAGTTTAAAAAAAAAAACCATTCTCTTGCACAGATTTTCCCTTTCTAGCCCAGCTGAGGCCCCACAAGTGATCAGTGTGCACACAGCTGGAAGAACCACATCAGTTGTGCAAGAGCACACCAAATGCACACTTTTTACCTTTCAGTTCAGAACTGTTTGCATCACTGAAAGCTCTGTCACTGTGCTTTTAAGATAAAGGTTGTTAATATATGAATTGTTTCTTCCTAAATTAAACCTTTGGGATTTAGATTTAATTGTAGAGCTGTCACTTTGTGTAAACAAATGGGTTTGGGGTTGCAGTTTGAGCAGCTGGTGTCTATAAATTCCGCCCTCACTGTCCTAAACTCTCACACAGGTGGCCGGCACCTACTATAAGGGAGAGAAGTCACTGAGCATCTCTAGCAAGTGGGGAGAATAAAGGTAGGAGAGAGCACACCAGACTTTAGGTTGAACTGAAGCACTGCGACTCGCCACTCAGTGCCCAATGCTAGGGCGGAGCCCATGGCTCCTCCCGCTCCGTCCTCCGCAGAAAGCATGCCTCACAGTGCTGAGCACCTACGCTGTGCATCCTCTTTAAGATATATACCAGCAGCGGGTGCAGGGGCCGGGGTGCCATCCCTGGGCCTGCAGTGCCGGCCCTGCCCCTGGGGCCCGCTGAGACGGTGACAGAGATGGCATGGTGGTACGGGCCTGTAATCCCAGCTCTTGGGAGGGCAGTGAACAGGTGGATCAGTACGAGTTTGATCTAGTAGTGAGACTCTGAACACCCTGTAGACCCTTCCCTAGAATAGAATAATAATAACAATAATAATAATAATGATAATAATGATAAAATATATATGAATTCACGCACCTACAATATTTAAATGGCAATGGAATACCCTTCTCTGACAAAACTAAACAAGAAAAAGGGGATATAAATGAAGGACCATTTTGTATCTGTATATACAAAATAGGATAGATATACAGCTATTTTCTCGTAATTCAATGAGAAGAGAGATTTGTACTAATAGTGTTTGGACAGAATATCATGTCTGTATTTGTACTATGAATAACCGCTATGAAGACAACAATATGCAATGTATTAATTATTGAAACTGTGCTACTAATCAGTTTTGAAACTGGCTCATTGCTATTTGTTTCTCAGTAAAATTAATAAAAAATAAAAAAATAAAAATACTTGGGAGGCTGGTTCCAAGCAGCTAGAGCCTTCTGGGAGACCTCTGCCCATCCCTAAATATTTTGACCCTAGTGGCACTTGTAATTGCATCTGCTGGGGGAAGGCCAGTAGCTGTCACTTCAGCTACTTTTGGGCAGTGAAGAGCATGATGTGAACAGCACTTTCTGTGAGTGTGACTGCTGGGATTCCCTTGCTTGGCTTCAATCACCAGGAAGTGAGCTCCTTGATCAGACACGAGGCCAGACGGAATACCAGGAAACAGCCACCGTGCACGCTCCCAGATGGTTGTTCCAGCGGAGACATTGCGTGAAGCAAAGGAAAAATATCTGTCTAGTCTAACCCAATAAGAAAACATTTCCTTTTCACAATGAGAATTGTCCAAAATAATCAATCTGCCATCAAATTGCAGGAAGAGCACCTGGGGAATGATCGCACACTGGAGGCATGCCGCTGGCCTCTGCTATGGCACTGAGCCCTATGTGCACATAAGCCTCGTTGGTGAGCAGAAGCCACCCTCAGGCCTCCTGACACAGCCTTCTTCTTCCCACCAAGATGATCACTATGCTCAAGAACATACTGAGGAATGACAGGACTGGCTGAGGGCAGAAATGGACTCAACTTAAAATGGGTCATCCTATTCATCTGATTCTTTAAAAATAGTAAAAAAAAAAAAGTATTAGA